CAATAATATTAATGGGCAGTAGCGAGACTGGGTGGTAGTGGGAACTGTCGTACGGTCACCTTTCTTTAAAAACACTGGACACACAGACACTAGTTTGCAGGCTGACGGTACCATTCCGCTAGACAATGACTGGTTGAAGATCGAAGTTAAGGAATTGGCCAGCTCGGCGGCATGGTGTTTCAAATGGTACTAAGTCTTGTTGACAAAGGCGCCGCAATAATATTCGGTCACGAGCAGGAGTCCGTGTATGTTGACGTGATCACATACTATTAGATGGTCGACACACCGGCTCCACCAGAGGCCCAGACACCGGGCCCCCTCCCCTTTATCCGGGCAAAATAGACTCGATGAACGTGGTGGTGGTGGGGGCGGGCGGGCGGTCTCATACCCGGGATAGAATCAGGTGCCCGTGAACTCTCTCTCTCTCTCTCTCTCTCTCTCTCTCTCTCGCTCGCTCGCTCTCTGTCTCTCTCTGTCTCTGTCTCTCTCTCTGTCTCTCTGTCTCTCTCTCTCTGTCTGTCTGTCTGTCTGTCTGTCTGTCTGTCTGTCTGTCTGTCTGTCTGTCTGTCTCTCTCTCTCTCCCTCTCTCTCTCTCTCTCTCACTCTCTCTCTCTCTCTCACTCTCTCTCTCTCTCTCTCTCTCTCTCTCTCTCAGATGGATTGTATTATTGCTTCCAATGACCTGGATTGAAGATTGAAGAAGACGATGTGTGACAGACGTGGAGGAATGCGTTTGACCTTTTCTTACCACTAAGTCTTGTAAAACTGGCACCCTGTCCTCCTCCCCGCCGCCACCACCACCGCCGCCACCACCACCGGCAGACTTCATCTCCACTCCACTACACAGTGGCCAAAAACGGGGAAACTCCCACCTCTCCCCACCAGAGGCTGGAGACCTGAAGAGATCAAACGGATCTGCGCCACAACATGACCAGCATGATGCGCAGCCACCCCAGCAGGATGCCCAGTCCTCTCATGCCCAATGATGGATTCCAGACCTCTGCGACTGCTAGTGACTAATGCATTCAGCCTGAGCAACAAGATAGGTGCCCTGCAGCATGTAATCCTGCAGTATAATGTAGACGTGGCAATAGTAACAGAAACGAAGCTCTGCTCAGATAATTCCTCCCATGAGTTGACCATCCCAGGACACTCACCCCCTATAGGAAGGATCGAGATGCCCATGGTGGCGGTGTGGCAGTGTGGGCTAGGAGTGAACTATCCATTACCCACCACGACGATATAGATTGCCGTGATCACGAGCTCTTATGGATTTCCCTGGCAATGCACTCCGGAACAAAGACTGTTCTGGGTGCGCTCTACCGGCCTGGCTCTTGTGCAGAGACAGACACCAGCCTGATGGACTACCTAGACAACACTTTGGATGATGTCCGCCGTCTTGGCAGCAATGTGATAATTGCAGGGGACTTCAACGTGCATAATTCAGCCTGGCTACAGAGTAGCAAGACTATCCGAGCCGGTGAATGCCTGGAGGAAGTCTGCGCAGCACATCATCTTGTCCAGCATGTCACCCAGCCAATCCGCGGCAACAATACTCTCGATCTTATCATCTCCGATTTCTCACACCCCGTATGCACCACAGCCTATGCACCACTTGGACGATCTGATCATGCCGTTATCATTGCCGAGTTTCTCCAACAGCATCCACGACGCGAAGATCCTGCTGTTCGACAGGTTTGGAAATACGCCCTTGCTGACTGGCACCGCCTGAGAGCCTACCTCCGCAACATAGACTGGCCCGCCAAGATCCATGGGTGTGAGGAGCAGTCCTGTCAGCGCGTAACTGATGTCATCATGCATGGAATGAAACAGTTCCTACCGTCCAAAGAGCTTGTGGTGCACCAATCCAACCCTGTATGGTGGACACCGGACTGTTCTAACGCCAATCATGCCAAGGAGCGGGCATGGAAGCTGTGGCGACGCAATCCCCGCAACGATAACCACAAGGTCCAGTACATCACAACTGTTAACCACGAAGTGGAAGCGTGTCATGCAGCGCGATTAGCACATCAACGTAGAATTCGCAACAAGCTTACTGCAGGTTCCCTCCGGGACAAAGAGTGGTGGTCAACCATCAAGAGCGCAGCCGGCAAGGGACGTTGCTCTGACATCCCGCTGCTGACCAACCCTGCAGGACAAGAGTTCCACTCTTCTCGTGAGAAAGCCGAGTGCTTTGCAGCGCATTTTGCGAACAAGTGTAGCCTTGGCAATAACGACCTCTGTGCTGCTGACCTGCCTGACCTGCCGATGCCACGCTAAAGCACATTCACTTCCGCGCAGCAACGGTCAAACGGCACCTGGCGAACTTGGCTGTATCAAAAGCAACTGGACCGGATGGCATCTCTGCTCGTGTGCTCAAGATGTGCTCATCTGAACTTGCAGACCCACTGGCAAAGCTCTTCGCCCTCTGCTTCTTAGCCGGTGTGCAACCTGGGGCATGGAAACTTGCCCATGTAGTCCCAGTTCACAAACGGTCCTCCACATCTTTGGCATCTAACTACCGACCAATATCACTGCTAACGATCATGTCGAAAGTCATGGAGGGCATTGTAAACACGCAACTGGTTAACTACCTAGAGAAGCATGAGGTGTTGCCAAACAGCCAGTTAGGATTCCGACGTGGTAGAGGAACCGCAGATATCTTAACGGCTCTCCAACATGAATGGGTCCACACCATAAGTACTGGTGGTTGTGTCCAGGTCCTCGCCGTGGATATTGCCGGTGCGTTTGACCGGGTATCACACACAGGAGTGCTGTACAAAGCAAAGCAGGCTGGCGTCGACGGACGCCTGCTTGTATGGCTACAGGACTACCTCACCAACCGAAACATCCGCGTTGTGGTTGGAGGCCAGACGTCAGATGCTCAACCCATCCAGGCTGGTGTCCCCCAAGGCAGCATCCTAGGACCCAGCCTCTTCCCTCTATACACCTGTGACATTGAACAATGTTTAACTCCAGGAACGCAGCTGAGCAGCTTTGCAGACGACACCACACTCTACAGCTTAGTACAGCCAACTGATCATCTCCAACAGTCCACCGCCTCCCTCCAAGGGTCCCTCAACAGTCTTGAGGAGTGGGGCCGCAAGTGGCGTATCTGTTTTGAGCCAGCAAAGACACAACGCATGACTCTACATCGCAAGCACGTTCCCCCCCCTGCACTCCACTAGTCACCTTTGGAGGTGAAGCACTCCAGGAGACAGATACCCTGAAGCTGCTGGGAGTCATGCTCGACCCTACTCTCTCCTACAGAGCGCACACTCGCAGTGTTGCACTGCGCGCCTCCCAAAGGCTGGGTTTCCTACGAAAGGCAGCACCCATCCTGAACGACCATGGTCGAGTGACGGTCTACAAGGGATTCGTGCGACCCCTACTTGAATATGCCCCACTGGCCTGGTCGAGCGCAGCCGCAACTAACATGGCCCAGCTGGACAAGGTTCAGCAACGTGCCCTGCATTTCCTGGGACCTGGAACCATCCTCCAAAGTCTTCAGCTTCGTCGGATGGTGGCAGCCCTGTCATACTTGTTCAAGCTGCACTACATTCCAGGGCATCCCCAGGTAAAGGCCATGCTGCCACCAACCAAGCCCCCTGCCGTAGCTAGCATGTGCACACGGCAAAAACGTCAGACGCACCATGCCTTTCAGCTGAAGTGGACACCCCCTCGCACAGCCCCTGACTACCTCCTGCGATCCTTCCCCTTCTTCGCCATCACACCCTGGAACAACCTGCCTGCGGACCTCCTGCTTCACGAGCCTCATTCAAGACGCCTCCAAACCTTCAAGGTCAACGTATGTAAGGATCTAATCCGAAAGAGATGGCTGTGGTCCACACAGTACCTGTGACGATGATATTGAGACCCATTTAGTATTTACCTCTCTACTAGTACTTGCTTGTTATGATTATTGTTCTCTTTCTTCATTTTCACTTCTGGTTTAGTCATTACACGTATTTATATTATTTGGTGCAATACTAGCGCCCCTTTCTCGCACCAAAATTATTATTTTTTGCTACCTGACCATGCAACCCCCCCCCTTTTTTCCATGCCAGGTTGCAACGCTAACGCCGAGACCCCTGGTCGGTCGAGTTGCTCCCTGTACATCGGCACGTCGTCCCTACATCCCCTGTGTCTTGTCTTGTTGTCTCCACATGTCTCTTTGTAGGGCTGAGTTCCCAATAAAAAAATAAAATAAAAAAATTCGTCATCGTCCAGTCGCATTCATGTCAGAGTTCCGGGGAGTTAAATGAATGTGTACTCCGGGTCAGGTTTCACCAAGCGCAACTCACTGTCCTTGCTCAACTCTGCTTGGCTTGAGCGCGTTGAGGCTTGACTGCCACACAGTCACTACAATACTAGGTCTTGTCAGGCTGATGCAGTGTCCATGGTGTCATCATTGATTTATTTAGGCACCGGAAATGCAGACAAACACTGCATGCTGGCAACTGTCATCTGACGTGAGTAGCGGATTTGCAGATCGATGCATCTGCGCTGCTACTAGTATACTCCATATCAACGTGGGAATAAATAATCATGTACATGCATTGCATGCTCGACACTCCGACAGTACTGCAATGCATTGCCAAAAGCATACAGGCGTAGCTGTATTACTACTACTAGTACTGAGTAGATCTACTAGTGTGAGTAGTACTGTCTGTAGTCTAGAGACGAGTGTAGTAGATCTACTACTACTACTAGTGTCGTTGTCATCTACTAGTACTAGTAGTAGTAGTAGCAGTAGTAGTAGTAGCCCTAAGCAGTAACAGACTAGTAACGCTACCCCGTCTACAGCGAAGAGATCTACCGAGCAGATCTACCGACCGTCGACGTGTATACCATGATATACGTGATCTTGGTGGCACCTGACCTCTGTACCGGACTGCGCGCTAGAACTGGCATTGCCCAGAATCTCGTCGAGTCGTGTCTTGCATCTCTGACTCCTTTTCGTACAGCTACACCTATGGCCTAGTCATACAGCATACCGGTAGTTCCACGACTCCACGAGGAAACCCGAAAATATTTTCTGTCTAGTCTACTGTAGATCTCCACACCAGTACTGGCAGTAGTACATGACTGTATCTCTATTTTGCACTGTGGTGTAGATCCACTCAGTGACAGTAGTAGGAAAGCTACCTCCTTGTTTGTGCAGCGGTGGTTCATGGAGGAGGGCCTCGGGTGACCAAGTCCAAGGTGACTGACTCTCATCTGCTCTTGCTGGTGCGCGTTGGAACTGACTGACTGACTGCTGGATGGCGCAGATGGAAAGTTGCGTGCTCATTCCACTGAGCTACTTCAGACAACCGTCGACTCCTGTAATCTTTCTTTTGTCCGCAATCAGAGATTATTACGCTGGCCTAGACTGCACTTGCTATGACATCTAGCTGGACACATTTCCAGTTGAAGTCTGTTTGTTTATGAAGGTACTGTCTCGTCAAACCCGTGTGGCGATATCCGAAAAATGCGAACGTGAACGGTGCACCTACTTTATCGTAGCAGCGCAGGGCAGGTTGAAGTAATCTGGAGAACGTGTGCTGGTGGAAGAGGCGGCCTGTAGTGGCGTCGGAGGTGTTGAAGTTTCAGAGGTAACTACTAACGTTACTTCAAGTGTCTTAGCACTTGATTATTTGATAACTGCTTCGCAACCTCGCGACCTATGCGCTGAAGGGTCAACTCCGAAAACGGTGTGGAACTGTGGGCCAGTGTGGCTGGAAGCCAGCCGGTCCGCCACAGGCGCACTGGGTACTACTACAATGCATCACGCCAGCAGGGTGGCTTCTCTGCGCCGACATGACCCGGTAGCGATATCGCTACTGGCCGTTCTCCTGCTGGGCAAGTGCCTCCTGCTACTGGGCGACCCAGCGGGCGCTAACGTTGCGAATCAAAATGTGGCACAAGGAGACGAAGGTGAGTCTGAAGGAACAGACACTGTTTGTTTCCTACGCTAGTACTATGCGTGTGACATGATTGTGTGTGTACTAGTCTAGAGTCAGCTACTAGTATCTCATGGACCCTCGCGTTGATCAGTTGATGGCCAGATTTCATGAGGGTTGGTTGAGCGACTCGACACGGGGATACCAGTATTCTTTCTGCTACAGTATACCTACAGTGCTTGCTTCTCATTTCCTCTGTGCTGCGCTGATGAGTCCACAAAGGACGAAACAGTTCTGTCCGCAGATTGAGTACTCTTACTTCCACTGTATGTATTTGATGGGACACATCATCCGGCGTCGCGTGTGAAGCAGCTTTTGTGCCGTGTTTTCCTTTGTAGATTTCTAATGTCAGATTGACTTCTGGGCTGAGCTGCTATTGTTTGTGCTGAATACTGCCGATGCACTTTCCACCGCAACGCATTTATCCCAAGAACATGACACTCTATTAATTATTATTTTTATGACAATCAACATGCTCAATCCGCGGACAGCATGCTGTCTCGTTCTTTGTGGACTCATCAGCGCAGCACAGAGAATATGAGGGAATATGAGGCCGAACCTGATAGCACTGGCAAAATATTTTCCAAAGCCAGAACCAAAATTAATTGAACATGTAATTCATGAGGGCCCAGGGGTAATTCATGGTGCTTTTATTAGTAATAATTACTGCTTGCTAGTACAGTGTGAGGTCGGGGGGGGGGGGGGGGTGACTGTTCTTCTGCCTTCTGGTAAGGGGGGGGGGGGGCAGAGTGACAAGCTGAGTCATGATTGCATCTCTACAGGGTCATACTGTACAGGCAGAAAATTCCGTCGGTCAATGATTCGTCCAGCTCCAAAGAAAGGGTGTTCGTACAGTACTCTTGTACATTTCGCCCATGGATCATAAGAGTGTATTGAAAGCTGGACAAGTCGACATTATGGTGGAAAAAGGAGAAGGACAAAATGTTACGAGTTATGACTAACTGTCCACCAACGTAACCAGATCTTATACAGTCAGCGAGTGCGACAAAACAACTCGTAACATTTTGTCCTTCTCCTTTTTTCACCATAATTTAATTGGCTCGCCATCCGAGTTGAAACCGACATTAGTCCGGTATTTAATTTAGTCCGAAACCCCCTTGGACGAAAAAGACGAAATTAAATTCCAGAAGAATATTTTTGCTTATACTTAGAGTAAGAGTAATCGGTACTCCACACAAGACATGGGAAGCTCTTTGCCTGCAACTGACTCTATACAAGGTTTCATCCGCACGAAAGAGATCGTTGGGCAGCGTTGACTGACCCCAACCCCGGTGTGCATTGCCTCAATCTGCGGCCAGTGTCGCTTCAGCCTGGGTGGACTCGTCGGCACAGCACGGAGACGTGAGGCTGAAACTGGCTGCAATGAAAAATAAAAAAATTCTCCATAAATATTTTTTTCATGGCTCGCTTGAAAGTGTTCGGTGTGCGTAGGAACGCTACCACCCACGCCACCACCCACAAGGATCAGAGGAATTTCCGCAAGGCAGAATTGAAATCAACATGACTGTTGTTATGTCGGGTTCAGCAAAGCACAATCACAGGGTCGGAGAAAACTACCATTACAAGTACATCTGGAAGAACAGTCCGAAAGCAAGCAAGGCGCGGGAAAAGAACACAGCTCCACTAGAAGTTATGCAGATTCAGAGACCGCGCATGCGGACTGGTGTACACACAATAATGATGTCATGCAACTACACATACACTACAATCTCCCCCTTCAAAAACACAAGGGAGAGCCTAACAGAGGGAAGGACAGTGTGCGAAGAGTGAGCATTATGAGAAGGCGGCTGAACATGAACAAGAGAACAGAGCGGTGCTCTAGAATAGTTCAGTCCCTGTAGCGCTGTGGCTTCAGTGCGTGACGCCTTGATGGCGTCCGAGCATCACGTTGCTGAACTACCTTCTCAGGATCAGAGGGAAGCTCAGGAGTCGTTGCAGGATCACGAACACGCAGCTGGTCCACATGTCTACGCACAATGACACCATTGGCCAGCTTAACTTCGAAAGACTTGGTGCCTTTCCGCTGCAATACGGTGCCAGCTGACCCCTTCTGAGGCTGGTTGAACATCCGCGCATAGACGGCGCTGCCTTCGTCCAACCCTTTTGCTGGCGGCTGGTGGCAGGCAGCGGTGGTGGTATTCTTGGCTTGCGGCTGTACCAGGTGCAGTCTGGTCTTGAGCTCCCGTTGAAGGAACAATGCCGCTGGAGTTTCTCCTGTTGTCGCGTGAGGAGTCGAGCGATACCGTTCCAAGAACGTCTGCAGTGCCTCGGTCCAGGACAGTAGACCACGCTTCTCACTCAACAAGGCAGCTTTGAATGTTTGGACACAGCGTTCTGCAGCTCCGTTGGTTGCGGGGAAGTATGGTGCACTGCGCAGGTGGATGATACTTCTCTCAGCCATGAAGTTGCTCCACTCCACGGACGTGAACTGCGGGCCGTTGTCCGTCCCGATTGCATCAGGAGAACCATACGCCGCAAACAGCTTCCGGAACTCTGCGATAGTCGTCTTGCTGGTGGTGGAGGACATAGGAATCACTTCCAACCACTTGGAGAATGCATCAGTCACGATCAAATACATTCGTCCTTCCATTGGTCCAGCAAAATCGGCGTGAATGCGACTCCAGGGTGCTGCTGGATTGGGCCAACGTGTCACCTCCACTGGTTGATCACGATTCCTGTTCACTTGGCATGCATGGCAGCTTCGGACGGCTCGCTCCACGTCGCTGTCAAGACCTGGCCACCATACATGGTTCCTTGCCAAAGCCTTCATGCGCACCATACCAGGGTGTGCAATGTGTAACTCTTGAAGGAGCCGGGGCTGAAGCGTGCTGGGCACCACAGTGCGAAATCCTCGCTGAAGGCAGCCCTGCACTACTGTGAGCTCCTCTGCGATGCGGTGGAAGGGCTTCAGCTCTGAGGGGACAGTCTCGGGCCAACCATTGGCGACATGCTGCAGTACCTGCTTGAGCACGATGTCCTTGGCCGTCTCTGCACTGATGTCTGCTGCGAGGACTGGCAGCTGATCCTGGTGAGTCGTCAGAATCTCAGACACCTCACACACATCAACGCTATGCGAATCAAGCGACATGCGTGACAGGTAATCAGCGTTGGCGTTGGCTTCGGTCGTCTTTACCATCACATCGTATTGATACGCTGATAGTGTTACAGCCCAACGCTGCAACCGCATGGCTGCGATTGAGGGGATGCCTCTCTTTGGACCGAAGATTACGGCAAGAGGGCGGTTGTCGGTCACCAGGTTGAAGTGCCGTCCATAGAGGTACAAGTGGAACTTGGTGACACCGAACACGATAGCAAGCGCTTCTCGTTCCAGTTGGCTATAATTGCGCTCGCTGGTTGTCAAAGAGCGGCTGGCGTATGCGATTGGTTGCTCCTGCCCTTCCGGCATCACATGGGACAAGACAGCACCAATTCCTGTGCCTGATGCATCGCAGGTCAGACGTAGCGGTAGCGAAGGGCTATAATGAACTAGAACTGGTGGTGCACTCAGAGCTGACTTCAAAGCTCTGAAGGCTTGCTGCTGTGGCGCTTGCCATTTCCAGACGGTGTTACGCTTCTGGAGATCGTAGAGAGGCTGTGCGAGCGAAGCCAGGTTCTCAATGAACTGGCCATAATAATTCACCAGACCCAAGAATGACTTGAGCTCCGTGACATTCGTCGGTGCACGTGCGTTCTGAACCGCTTGCACTTTATCATCGGTGGCGTGTAGACCCGACGCGTCAATTTTGAAGCCGAGGTACTGGACTGAGTCGGAGAAGAACATGCATTTCGATTTCTTTAGCTTCAGACCGGCTTGCAACAGAATCGACAACACCGTGTTCAGACGTTCCAGCAGTAGTCTGCGAGTGGGTGCAGCGATCAGGATGTCGTCCAGGTACTTGGACACGCCTTCCAAGCCAACCAGGAGCTTGTCCATGATTCCTTGGAACACCGCTGGAGCCGATGCAATACCGTAGGGCAGACGATTGAACTGGTACAGGCCCTTGTGCGTGTTGATGGTAGTCATCTTCTGGGACGCCTCATCCAACGGCACTTGCAGATACGCCTGCGACAAATCCAGCTTCGCAAAATATTTGCAGCCATTCAGGGAGCTGAAGATGTCCTGCGCTGTCGGCAGTGGGTGCTGGTCCACTCGTAGTTGGGGATTCACAGTGACCTTGTGTAATAGGTAGCCGAGTGGTAGGCGCGGTGAAATCAACAATAATTACTTTTATTCTACTTTCAGGTACACACCTGAGATATAATCGTTCGTGAAAGAAGATGCGGCAAAATAACTGACTTTCTCTCCGGTGCTCACCTAGAGGCTGAATCCTTATTCTTCGAGTTAGCTTTCATTGCTATCCAATCTAATCTAATCTAATCTTCTTTCCATCAAAACAGAAATGCGCAGCCGCTTTTATGCAGCAGACGACGTACGCTTACATACGGAGATACACTAAATATACATCAGGCAAGCTCCGTATTAGTTCCGTACTGCTTCCGTATTGGTCGGGCAGGGATACTACACCCTCCCTTCCTACAGATTATCACGCCCTCGTGATTTTCAAAAAATTAGTGAGGAGTTACGAACACAGCGTCAACCGGAAGATGGCAAATAATATATCGGAAATGATAACGTTTAGAGTAGACAGAAGAAATGAACTGATAACAAATCATAAAGTAGAAGCACACCAGGTTTACACGATCTCACGGGGTCAAAAGGGGAAAGAACTGTCCTCCAAATAGGACCTGAAAATCCACAGCACTCTTGCTGCACAACGCTGGCACAACCCGCCAGGAACATCGCAGTTCAAAAACCGAACTGAATACACTATAACTATAAGGGGCGTTGTCACACACATTGTCCCACGTTAGCTGGGTAAGCCGTGGCTCACCATGATCAGACGCCTACCAAACTAAACTGGATTCACACACTCGCATAAAGGAAGACTGAGGAGAACAGGGAGACTGAAGGAAGACAGGAAAGAAAATGCCATACCTGGAATCAGCGTTAGTAACCACGCGGCGGCTGGAGCTATGGCGGAGAGCAAGCCAGGTTTTATCTTCATCTTGGTTGAGCCGGTCACTCCGAGCGGCTAGCTCGGCGTCAGACAAATGACCTCCCTCCTCGACTTGAATCGTGGTCTTCACATTGTCGATAGCATCGCTTTGCGTGACGTAAAGAGTGATGGTCTAGCCAGGAAGAGTGTTGACGAAAATCTGCATCCCACCACGGAGACGACGTACCAAGTGAATAGTGGACTCGTGCTGAACGTTGTAGTCACTCAGGGTTCGGCCGTCTGCCAACTGCGTGCCGGCGAAAATCCTTGTCTTGGGCAGCAGCCTGCCTGTTGTCGTCCTCATCAGCTTCGCCATCACCACCAGTAGTTAACATGTAGGTAGCGGGTCGCTTAGAATCGCCATCGAAGTCTCCAGTGGACGCCATGCGGAAAGAAGGGCGATCCACGCTAGCACCCTGACTGTGCTGCAGGCTAATAAGCAGGGCCAAGCCCAGGAAGGCAAGAAACATGATCCTCATCTTGATTCGTCGGAGGGAGCTGCAGCGGGTTGAGCCATTGGGGTCTGGGGTCGAATCACGTTGTTCTATTTAAAACTACACCGCTGCCACCAATGTAACAGGTAGCCGAGTGGTAGGCGCGGTGAAATCAACAATAATTACTTTTATTCTACTTTCAGGTACACACCTGAGATATAATCGTTCGTGAAAGAAGATGCGGCAAAATAACTGACTTTCTCTCCGGTGCTCACCTAGAGGCTGAATCCTTATTCTTCGAGTTAGCTTTCATTGCTATCCAATCTAATCTAATCTAATCTTCTTTCCATCAAAACAGAAATGCGCAGCCGCTTTTATGCAGCAGACGACGTACGCTTACATACGGAGATACACTAAATATACATCAGGCAAGCTCCGTATTAGTTCCGTACTGCTTCCGTATTGGTCGGGCAGGGATACTACACTTGTAGTCACCGCAGAGACGAACTGAGCCATCGGGCTTTGGAACAGCCACTACTGGTGTTGCCCACTCGCTGTGCTTGACAGGCTCTATAATGTGCTGCTGCTCCATCTTCCTGAGCTGCTCCTCAACCAAGGGCTTGACAGCGTACGGCACTGAATAGGGACGCCTGAACACCGGTCGTGCGTCCTCTTTCAGATGCAAGGTAGATGCGCCTGTTCGCAGCTCACCAACGTGGCCGTCAAACAAGGTCGCGTTGTCCGCAACTATCCGCTCCAAATCGGGTCCATCCGTAGGTTCGTCAACCCCAAACACGGATGACCAATCGAGTCGGACGTGTGGCAACCAATTCCTTCCGAGCAGTGTAGCACCCTCGCCTTCAACAATGAGCAGTGGCAATGGCGTTGTACGGCCATCATAGCATACCTCCACTGTGGCTTGACCCAACACATTGATTTCATCACCTGTGTACGAGCGCAGCTTGATGTTCGCCGGTTCGAGTTGTTTGTCACTGGTACGGTCCCACGTCTCACGTGACATAAGGCTCACTGCAGCTCCGGTGTCGAGCACCATTGTCGTTTCCACCCCGTCTAACATCACATTCACAGTTAGCTTGGGACGGGACTCTACGGAGTACACATCACCAACTTCATGCTCCTCACATACAAAATTGGTTTGGTGTTGGTCGCCCTTTTTCGTACGACACACCTTCTCGAGGTGCCCACGCTTGTGGCAGTAGTGGCACTCGGAAGCCTTGAAGCGACACTGTGAAGGAGCATGGTCCTTATTGCCACAGCGATAACAAGGCGCAGCCCCGTCAGTAGTGCTGGCTCCGGACTTGCCTCGCTGTCTAGGTGCAGGTGGCTGTCTCTTGTGCCAAACGGCATGGACATCGCTGGACTCGGAGGTAGATCTACCCGCGGCCATCAAGCGCGCAGCCTCGCGATCGACCACCTCTTGAGCTGCAGCCGTTTTCAGAGCAGTCTCCAAAGTGAGGGCATCGATGGTCAGCAATTTTTTACAAACGACAGCGTCTCGTATGCCACAGACGAACCTGCCGCGGATGGCATCTTCCAGACCATTGCCGAAGTCACAGGTCTTAGCCAAACGTCGTAGCTCAGCGGCATAGTCATGATAACTCTCACTTGCCTGCTGGCTGCGGCTCCAAAATTTGTAGCGTTCCGCAATTGTCAGACGCTTAGGGGAGAAGTGTGCAGTCAGAGTCTGTCGCAGCTCTGAGAGGGACTTGTCATCCAGTGTTGCTGGTGCGATCAGCGTCACTAGCAACCTGAAAACACTTTCTCCTACAACTGTCAAGAATACAGATTTCTTCCGCCCGTCCTCAATTTTATTCGCTTTGTAGAACTGATCCAGCCTGGCCAGATAAGACTCCCAGTCATCAGCATCCGTAGATGTGAAGGGGCCCAGGTTTCCGAGCAGCGCCATGATCCGATCTTCGTCGCCACTTGTTATGTCGGGTTCAGCAAAGCACAATCACAGGGTCGGAGAAAACTACCATTACAAGTACATTTGGAAGAACAGTCCGAAAGCAAGCAAGGCGCGGGAAAAGAACACAGCTCCACTAGAAGTTATGCAGATTCAGAGACCGCGCATGCGGACTGGTGTACACACAATAATGATGTCATGCAACTACACATACACTACAACTGTAATATATAGGCCGAGTCGGGTAGCATTTTCTTCGGGTACATATTGGGCTCGGGTAGTTTTCCACGGGTAGCACGGGTACCCGATAGGGGAATGTTTACATGGTGACACCACAGTGCACCCCTTCCCTTACACACTGGGTTGACATGCGGAGTATTACATGAATGTGTACACGTGCACTGTACATGATGTCATCTGCGACTTCAGGTTTTCGGGTACTACTAGTATTCTGGACCAGTTTACCCGAGGTCCCGACGGGTAGCACGGGTACCCGACTACCCGTGCACACCCCTAGTAATAACAGTTGCATGCCGTGATTGTCACTGTGTGGAGAAAGAAATGCTGCAGAAACGTGCATGTGCACATTCCGAGTCAACGTTGCTACAGAATGCCAGCAGTATTAGCCTATAATGGTGACGTTGCTACAGAATGCCAGCAGTATTAGCCTATAATGGTGACGTTGCTACAGAATGCCAGCAGTATTAGCCTATAATGGTGACGTTGCTACAGAATGCCAGCAGTATTAGCCTATAATGGTGACGTTGCTACAGAATGCCAGCAGTATTAGCCTATAATGGTGACGTTGCTACAGAATGCCAGCAGTATTAGCCTATAATGGTGACGTTGCTACAGAATGCCAGCAGTATTAGCCTATAATGGTGACGTTGCTACAGAATGCCAGCAGTATTAGCCTATAATGGTGACGTTGCTACAGAATGCCAGCAGTATTAGCCTATAATGGTGACGTTGCTACAGAATGCCAGCAGTATTAGCCTATAATGGTGACGTTGCTACAGAATGCCAGCAGTATTAGCCTATAATGGTGACGTTGCTACAGAATGCCAGCAGTATTAGCCTATAATGGTGACGTTGCTACAGAATGCCAGCAGTATTAGCCTATAATGGTGACGTTGCTACAGAATGCCAGCAGTATTAGCCTATAATGGTGACGTTGCTACAGAATGCCAGCAGTATTAGCCTATAATGGTGACGTTGCTACAGAATGCCAGCAGTATTAGCCTATAATGGTGACGTTGCTAACTGTCGCCATTTTTAAAGACTATTCGTGCGGCAGGGGGTGGTCACAGCGATTTGTATGCTCACAGAACAAAACAGCCATTCATTGAACATAGTTGTCATAATAACTCCGCTTCTCGAGCCCACTGATAGTTGTGTCCCAGGGGCAGATCCAGAGATCTCTACAGAGGGGTTCCAGTTTAGCCAAAACTGAATAGCTGACACACTTCAAATCTTCTGTGCATTAGTCTCCACCTTCGCAAAATCCTAGGCTAACAGCCTGCATGCACCTGCTTTCGGGCATAATGACTTGTCAGGTTTTACAGGTCTCAATCATTGTGTGTTAGACTTACCATGACCACGCGAACGCAATCGTCATAAACTGTTGTTGATCCATATCTTCTTCATGTTCCGTCTTTACTCTTTATAAATTTAAAATATTCTCTCTCTCTCTCTCTCTCTCTCTCTCTCTCTCTCTCTCTCTCTCTCTTCTTTCATCCATCCCTAACCATCTATCTGCATTGATATCCTCCCTATTTTAATAGATGGCGGGTCGGCTGGTGGGTCAGTAAGATCTGGTAAGTGAGACATCAGTAGGGAGGGAGGGGGGGGGGGGGGTTGTACGGACTGCTATGCAGACGGACATTTGTTATGAACACTGCTGCTCACTGCTGCTCAATGCTGCTCACTGCTGCTCAATGCTGCTCAATGCTGCTCACTGCTGCTCACTGCTGCTCACTGCTGCTCAATGCTGCTCACTGCTGCTCACTGCTGCTCAATGCTGCTCACTGCTGCTCACTGCTGCTCACTGCTGCTCACTGCTGCTCAATGCTGCTCACTGCTGCTCACTGCTGCTCACTGCTGCTCAATGCTGCTCAATGCTGCTCAATGCTGCTCACTACTGCTCAATGCTGCTCACTACTGCTCAATGCTGCTCACTACTGCTCACTACTGCTCAATGCTGCTCAATGCTGCTCACTGCTGCTCAATGCTGCTCATCAATGCTGCTCAATGCTGCTCACTGCTGCTCAATGCTGCTCACTGCTGCTCACTGCTGCTCAATGCTGCTCACTGCTGCTCACTGCTGCTCACTGCTGCTCAATGCTGCTCAATGCTGCTCACTACTGCTCAATGCTGCTCACTACTGCTCAATGCTGCTCACTACTGCTCACTACTGCTCAATGCTGCTCAATGCTGCTCAATGCTGCTCAATACTGCTCAATGCTGCTCAATGCTGCTCAATGCTGCTCAATGCTGCTCAATGCTGCTCATCAATGCTGCTCAATGCTGCTCATCAATGCTGCTCAATGCTGCTCAATGCTGCTCAATGCTGCTCATCAATGCTGCTCAATTCTGCTCAATGCTGCTCAATGCTGCTCAATGCTGCTCAATGCTGCTCAATGCTGCTCAATGCTGCTCAATGCTGCTCAATCACATCGAAAGTTGCTTTCTTCCAAATCTACTTCAAAGCAAAAAAAGGTTACCGTACTTTACCTGTTATACATGTAGGTCGACCCCGTATCCGCAGGTCTCAATTCTGTGTTTTAAAGTGTTCACCCAACGAAGCACTACTAACCATTCCCTGCTACTAACACATCAACAAATCATGTATATCCTTATTGGAGGGTATAACGTCCCAATTCTTGAAAAAAGGCCAATAAACTGGCAAAAACGCGTACACGTGGTGCACTCGTACATGCAGTGCAGGTCATTTTTTTGTAAGATACTGATAGTTCCCGGTTATAAGTTGAATCCCGGTTGTAAGTCGACCCCCGCCCTTTCTCCTTCTATTTTTAATCGTAAAAGGTCGACTTACAACCCGAAAAATACGGTACTAAGTTGGATCATTTTTGATCATTATTATTTCACCGCCTATATCACCTTGCTGTGAGTAAGACTGCTTGAAATGTGCTTGGATCCATACAAAAACTCAGTTTTGGATTATTTTTGAAATTGTTCCTATGCATGCCGTGATGTAGCACTTTCTCAAGCCCTATAACGCTTGCCAATGTGACATGGTGTCTGGTGTAGTGTCTGGGCACATGTGCAATGTCCTGCCCAATGAAATCCAGCCGTGAAACTCTCAAGTGTTCACCTTGCACCATTTCGCAGCCCTGTGTTTACAGGTCTAGATGCTGTGCAACGCCCGGTGGCGCGTACTTGAGTGACACGACTGGATTTCAGTAAACAGCACTGGGCATGTAGCATCTGATGGTTTATTTAATATTCTGCTCCGCTGAGAGGCGGCTGCAGAATCATACACGTATATGTTGTGCATTTCGTGTGTTCGCGCCTCTTGTCCCGTTGTTCCCGGTCTAGTGGGCTCGTTGAATTGCACGTGCACAGCGTTGGCGGACTGCGTTGATGATGCCGCCATGCTGGATAGCTCGCTGTACGCCATCACGCTGTGTGTCTGCCAGAACGACTCCAGTTCTACGTCCTTCTCGTGCTCAGGTACGTGCGGCAGTAGCTCCATCCCTTAGACGGGACGTTCGAATGCACAGCGTAACTCGCTTTGATGATGTGTTGCACTGTGCGGCAGGTAGTGCTGACTGCTGGACGTTCGAATGCACAGCGTAACTCGCTTCGATGATGTGTTGCACTGTGCGGCATTCGGCGGCATTTCAGCTCTTTAAAATACTCCCTTGCAATATGTAGAACTTGCCCTGGACTTGCAGTGGTAGTGTTTCTCTGCAGGCCGCAAACGCCAAGCATGCCATTTGTAGAGGTTGTCGGCCGCTAGTGTGTTTCTCAATTCACCCCGGGTGGACTGTTTCTCGCCTGTTCAACTCTGGTGTTTTTTGTTAAGCACATGTTCCATGAGATTTACATCAGCACAGCGAAACGTGAGATGGGTGCTGGTGCCCTGCGCTTTGCGGTGCATAAAGGAGCTTGTGTACATCGTCCTGAAATGATTTTCAGGATCCTACAAAATAATCTTGACATGCAGACTTTTGCTATCTAATAGCACACTCTTGAGAAAATCCCTCAACCGAATAAGCATTCTTGAGTGTGACCTAATATAGTTGCTTTATGCGCCTATGGATGCGGAATACTGTGCCTCCAGCCGAGTCTCACATGAACCGGTGAAGTTTTTTTAATGTCCTAGGCTAAATTCTAGTCATGATTAGTTATGCCATACCCCACAACTCCCTTCTGTTCACGCAGAACTGATCACATCACTGATCGACTTGCAGATGACGTCGTCAAGCAACGCCAGCTCAGCTAACATGACATCAGCAGCGCTCACGGCCTCCATGTCACCGCCCACTCCCATTGCGATGGAGAGCTCCGGGCCAGCGAACGCATCACCGACTGGAACCGGCGTCTCGCAATCCGCTTCTCTTACTATGGCGACGCGTGCACTGACAGGCATCGGAGCCAGCGGTGCATCAGGTAAACTCAGCTGTTTCTACTTACAATTTTATTATTCGGGGAAAACTCACTGGGAAATCTTCCATTTCGGCGTGAAGGTGATGACGTTAAAGTCAACTGCACATTATACTCTTTGCCGAATCATGAAATTTATCTGAGTAAGAGATCCCTGTGACAGACCTAGAGCCTCCTGGGTAATCCTTGAAATTTGATAAAATTTATACTAATACTAAAATACTAAACTACTGGCATATGTAGCTGGGTAGAGAACGAAACATTTTAAATTGATACATATATCTCACACCGACCAAGGCAAGAAATATTATAAGGTATGTACGCGCAATTCTATCGGGCAGTAAAGATGGGGGGGGGGGGGGGTAGTGTTCTCTCAACGTACTGTCTACCGTGTGGAGAGCACGCCAAACAACTAACTTATGACGGTCTCGTTGTGAGGCCCTTTTCATTATTAGTGCAAGAACACAAACCGTGACATGGGGGGGGGGGGGGGGGGGGAGGTAATGCATTGTTTCGGTCTGGAATCGTTGTCACTATGTGCGTCAACATGTGCGTTGTCGCCGGCCACAGATGATCCGGACGGCTGGCTTGGCGTGGCCTGGTGGTACTGGATCGCTATCATCGGCGCCAGTGCCAGCTTGCTCACCGCACTCATCGCCGTACTCTGCACGGCCAGGTGCATACGCCGGCGCCAGCGCAACAAGATCACGTTCAACTCGCCGTACCAGCACCGCCGCGGTAGCAGTCAGACGGTCGAGGGCCGGTTCATACACATGCACGCCAAGACCTTGACAGGCCCAGGCATGGGCGCGAGCGGCGAAGTCTTTCGCCACCGCGGCTCCATAGCGTCCGAGCTGTCGTCCGACACGGCCCTCTCGCACACGCTACCAATGTCCTCGGGCTCGCGTCCCACACGAGAGTCGACCCGCTCCAACGGCACCGCCGGTCCCAAGTGCAGCTACACTATGAAGGCGGCCTCGCCATCACCCGTGCAAGGTCGGCCTCCGGCTGAGTCCAACGGCAGCACTGGGGGTGGTAGCAGCGGCGGTGGTGGAGGCGACGGGTTTGAAACGTCGTCATCGCACCACCACCATCGCCTGAACCACACGTACGACGAGCCAAGCGTGGACATGGCCCAGGTGAGTCCAACGCGCCTGCGTACCTTCACCGGCTACAGTGACTCCGAGAACAGCGGCAGCAGCGAGGCTGGCTACATGTACATGGCGCGCCAGGCACGCATGCACAAGCAATCAGCAGCGCCGCAGCCGTCGTCATCACAACAGCAACAGCAGGGCATTGCTCGCAAGACCAGCAGCAATGGCAGCGGCAGCAAGCTGGACACGCTCGAGCGGCCCCTGCTGAAGGCTGCCGCCGACATGGCGGTGTCCGACGACGACGTCACGGCCGAATCATGCGACCAGGACGACGGCAAAGGTCAGGCGGAACAAGATCACGCGCGCGTAGATCCAGCAGCGGAGCTAAAACAAGACACTGGCGACGCCGACCACAAGGATGGCGATGTAGACCCATCGGCGGAGGCTGGCATTAGCTCATTGAAACGTTCTGCATCGAAGGGCAGAGCACCACCAATACCTGGACCCAAACCAGTAGGGAAGGTGTCCGACGCGAGCAGCTCACCCGGATCTCTCCGCAAGCCCAACAAAGCACCACCAGCGCGACCGGCCGAAACCTCGCCCTACTCCTCCGCCGTCAAAATCCAACAGAAGCTGCGCGAGCAACAGCGACTGCACCAGCAACGACGGCTGCTGCACCGTCGCTTCACGGACATCACCGGGACAACGGTGCAGGCACCCGCTGCCATCGCCGCTGCTGCTGCTGGTGCTGGTGGTTCGCTTAACCGCACCAGGTCTGCCCGCGGTGGTGCGGCTGGACGCAGCGTGCCGCGTCCCAACCGCCAACCGCCGGTGGCGCCGTCCAACACGGGCAGCAACTCCCTGCGAAGCTGGAGTGACGACGACCTGCTCGACAAGCGCGATGCCAGGGGAAGGCACTCGATCAGCGGCCATCCAGCCAGTACACCACTCACAAACCCTTACCACACGTCCAGTCTGTTTGAGGTTGCGGCAGCTGGTCCCAGCAGTGCGCCGCGCGGCATTATACACTACCCTGCCAGTCACTCTGGCTGATACTACTCATCAGTCTGCGTAATTGGGACATGGAAACTGCTGCTGCAGCGTGGCAGCAATCTCTACCCCCCCCCCCTCTCTCTCTCTCTCTCTCTCTCTCTCTCTCTCTCTCTACCTGTCTATCACACACGCACATGCATGCACACACACACACACACGTCCTGTCCTGTAGAGCCACTACCACTAGGGTCACGGGACACACACAAGCACACACACACACGCACACGCGCGCACTCTCACCCTACACTCATTCTACATGTACTTCTCTCATCATCTCTGGAGCTGACACACAAGCTCACTCCGAACCGTACCCTGTCTAGCCAGCACTGCCTGCAGGCCATGTAGCAGGGAGTCAATCACGCAGACTAGGTAACCTGAACGCTATGAACTGGAAGTAAACAATACCCGTAGGTTTGTCTGCCTTGGCAACACTGCATTGATTGTACCCTTGAGAAGAGCTCTGTTTGCTGCACCAGACTCCTCCACTCGTAAAACGAAAATACCACCCAACAAACATCAGTACTGCCTTGTTGAAGTAAGAAGTGCAGCGTAACTCTGTTGTAGGCTGGACTCTAGCAAATCACTGCACCACACCCGCACCCAGTTTTTGGCTACTCAGATAACAATAGTACGCGTACACGTAGCTATGAGTGATTGCTTCTTGTATTGGAGATGTACTTCTAGACTAGTGCTGCACTCTATCACCGTGCTAGACTAAGTTATAATAATGATACCCACCGTGCTCCATCTTTTTTTTCCTTCTTGCATTCAATTTGCATTCCTCTTTTGGGTATTGGCATTCATGGCCGGCTCCTTCATCGCATGCTAGGATACTGGCCATCTTTTGAAATGTCACTGTGACATCACATCGTGTACAGTGTAGTGATATCAAGAGTGATTGCACTTCACATCGCTTTCATGGGCGCTGTCTCTGGTTTCTTGTTTTCGTTTGTACCCCTACTTGCCTGCAGACTGCAAGGTTGTATGGAAGGTTTTTATACGTTAGTCAGGCCAATTAGCTTTTACCAACATGGACTTTATTTTTCACCATCAATAGTTTGACCATCCGGGCCGCGGGTCTGGTGTTCTCTGCTGAGTAGCTGCACGACGGGTATCACGAGGCAAAGCTGATGACGTGCTATCTGCATGCATCCCATAGTCTGTTCTTGCACTGAATCTCGTCGTAACATTAACGGTGAAACGCGTACCTGTTCAACGCCTTCAATGACGCTAGGGCATGCTTGAATAGGGGTTTTTTAATACTTTTTTCTCTCTATTAAATAACTTTCTGAGCTTAGCCATAATTATGCGTCTGACTAGAGTATCACTGAATGCCATGGCAACACGTTGGCAGCTGCAGTTGGCACGAACAGCTATATAATAAATAATAGGACACCAGTATTACTATGACATTGTGAGAAGTAGTTCGACTCTTATCCACGCGTGCGTATCGTTGCATGCTTGTGTGTTGTGTGTGTGTGTCATGGCTCACTTTCTGCTATCATGAGTACGGAACACTTCAGTGTTCGCAGATGGAGTGGTATCTTGACTCATGACTATGACACACTGGTCCTCACGCTCATTGTTCTCATCCTACGCCCCCCCCCCCCCCCCCCACACACACACATAATGGGCAACTCTGATCATGTTTCGTTCTTCAACTCCCTGGTGCACTGTGAGGTGTATGTGCATGCTGATACAATAACCATAGGCCAGTTAGGGTAGGATTGGAGTATAGCTTTGCTGTACACGGCTCTGCTATTATAAAGAGTACAGTACATACATATGGCCCTGTACTCTTGCTACCACGCAGCTATACTGTACAGGCAGAACATTTCGTCGGTCAATAATTTCGTCCAACTCCAAAGAAAGGGAGTTCGTCCGGTTGTAAATTCCGTCCATGGATCATAAGAGTGTATTGAAATGCTGGACAAATCGACATTAGTCAGGCATTTTATTCAGTCCAAAAGCTCCTTGGACGAAAAAGACGAAATTAAATTCCAGACGAATATTTCTGCCTATACAGTACATGATTGTATAGTCACAGTCCTATTTCTGTGAGATTCCTGATTCTCTCGCTGAGCACCTGTAGAATATGCATGCAACATGCATTTACGCCCGAAACCTGTGTCTCGTTGAAATGGTTATAACCGGCATCAAGAGAATAAGCCTCCAAGAGTGTGCAACTCTGCATATGGGGGGCAATCCGAAAATCTGCCAGAATTATGCTGGCGAGTTGCATACGCACAGGGAGTTTCTGCCAGGGAATGCTTTTATTATAATACTCGCTAAAAACGGGCTGGAAACGTACAGCTGGGACACAACACCACGTGATGTGAGTTTTCGCCGTGGCGTGGGCGTACCCCATAGAAAGGGTATCAGGAGTTGCAAACTCTGGGGGGGGGGGGGGGGGGGGTGGTGTACATGTATACTCTTGCCGGCATGCGCATAGAGCTGTGGCACCTCTATCACATGACCATACATGGCGGCCATGTTGGTTCCAACACCCGTGCCAGTGGATGCCTGCATCTATGGGTCACGTGATGTCGGCCATTCCTACATGTAGTTCGACGCGTCACTACAATGGGATAATCTAGGCTAGCTCCATCTCATCATTCAAGGCGCATTGCATGCAGCAGGCCAGCCAGAACCCGCACATGAGGAGTTCAAACACGCGCAGCTGCATGCCGTTAGTCTTCTGTTGTCCGGCTTCTGCTCTTTCATCCCTCCTTATTGACACATTCTACCGTGACACAGTCCCCCGCAGTAACGTCCGTCCCACAAGCAAACATGGCTACATACAAACAAGGGGCGCAACGTAGCAACGCAGTTTTCAGTTGAACAAAAATGTCACGTGTTGTTCCCAAGCACCAGCATTATTGCAGACGGGCACTCGCTGCCCGCCGTAAAAGAATAATCATTTAAAATTTGGTCAGAACCGAAGAAACGGAAAATACGAAAACAGCCAAAGAGATGAAGCAACACACGCTTGCAGACCTGGACGGTATGCACAATTTGTACACGATGCTTGAAGTTATTTACGCACACACTGGCTATCGCTAATGTCCATCTGTCATGCACGTACGCGCACACACACACACACACACACACACACACACACACACACACACACACACACACACACACACACACACACACACACACACACACACACACAGGCTCACTCACTCTCTCTTCTTCAAGCACCGGAGATAATACAGCACTGTCCCACGCTGGGGAATTTACACGACGCGTCGCACTTCAAAGAAGCGCTTGAGGTAGTAGATCTGTCCGACCGTCATGCAGATGAGGATGAAGTCCTCGAAGAATGCCCACCACGCCACGCGGGAATTGGTGTTGTCGTTGACTGCAGAGATGAGCAGTAAAGAGATGAATGAACAAACGGACAAACAAGGAAACAAACAAACACACAATCACATCCACATTTAATAATAGTGAGGTTCTGCCACACGGTAAAACGTGCCAAAGTACGTATGGAAACCTCGCCGCGGTACGGGATCAAGTTTCATACGGATTTTTCATACCGCGCTTCACACGGACTGGACTCCGTGTGAAAACTGAGTGTACAGAGTACATGTGGCGGGGTGTTCGTGCATGCTACGAGCATGCTACGTACAGCAGAACCGGTGCAACGTACGAAAAATCCGTGTCAAACTTCACTGCAGTTGACACGGAGTTTGGTACGTAGTTGCGTGTAGCAGAACCTCTCTAATAGTTCCTACATCAGCACACATGTACTGTAAACCCGTGCACAATTGCACACGTGCCCATCACTGCTAGTGATAAGTGTGCGCACGCATGTATGTGTGTGCATGTGTGCACGTGTGTGTGTGTGTGTGTGTGTGAGAGAGAGAGAGAGAGAGAGAGAGAGAGAGAGAGAGAGAGAGAGAGAGAGAGAGAGAGAGAGAGAGAGAGAGAGAGAGAGAGAGAGAGAGAGAGAGAGAGAGAGAGAGAGAGAGAGAGAGAGAGAGAGAGAGAGAGAGAGAGCTCTCTGTCTGTCTCTCTCCATAATCTGCAACACTTTTACAACAGGCATGCTCGATGTAACTAAATCAGTGCAAGTCAGTTTAGGAGCAGCAGGGTACCGTCAGTAGGCACTCACTCATGCGGTGGATACGCTCTCGCACTTCCATGTAGTCCTGTTCGTGTTTGACGCTTGTGAGCGCCGTGGAGAGCTGCGCTACCATCTCCTCCAACTGGTTATGGTGCTCAGCTGTGTGCAAACACACAAACACACAAACAATAACAACAACAACAACAACAACAACAACAACAACAACAACAACAACAACAACAACAGCAGCAGCAGCAGCAGCAACAACAACAACAACATCACAAGGAAGAAGTGAAACAATTGTGTGCTGTCATGGCGGTCCAGCAGTACACATCATCCACCCCCCACCACCACGCGCACACACACATATTCACACAGCGGCACACCGTGAAGAAAGCATTTAGACAAGTGGCCTTGCAACAGGTAAATTGTACCCGATGGAGAACACAATAGGCGCTTATGATTCATGGCTGAGCCTGTATGGAGAATTACCATGCGCACGAATATGATATGGCCCAATATCTGAGAAAATCGACCTTCGGGGCTGTTTTGGTGAAATTGATTTTTTTGTTGCAAATTGATGTCTAGCCTTTGTTGAGTATTGTCACTTCGTTTCACGGCCATCAGACCAATATTGACCATGAAGAAATCCATTTTACAGTCAGGAGTCATGTTAATGAATTGTTCTTTTTTTTACAATTTTGAAAGATCAGTGTGTTTGGAGCCACCAAAAATTGTTTCCGTGTGACATCAATAGCCAACTAATATAGTAAAGTGTTTTGACTGTTCAGGTACTTCATTTCCAGCATTCCGTGACTTTATTGAGGTTATGTAGTTTCAACAGCAGCAATAGCAGCATTAGAAGGAGAGGTGATTTATCTGTTCTCCTGGTGATGGACATGCTTGACAGGATAGTCTGCAATAGATTTTGACGGAACACCATGATACATGTAACAGCATTCACATACTTATTGTGAAGGAGTCAAACAGAGCAAATGCGTCCAGATTCGCTTTGTCACACTTTGTGGAGACTGACCATTTCCAAACATCAGTAACACAGCCTGACAAGCGTTTCACATCACCAACTCAAAAGTAACAGAATGTTACTAGTACTCGAGATTGCCCAGCCTCACGTGCTCCGTGATGGTCTGATTCGCCATTATTGGCTCGAGTATCGAGCTTGCCATCCAAAACATTTTAGGATCATCGTCGCAAAGAAAACTCGCATCATTTCGTGCTGTTTTAGCAGGTCTGGCGTGAAACTCAGGAAACAGTTCTGCCACCCGCGCAAGGGCGGCCAGCGACCTTGCAAGCGGCGTACCCTCAGGAATTCACTTGGTTGTCCTTGCCTGGAGCTGTAGCAGCTATCGCTGAGGCAGACTGTGGTTGGCCTTGATCATACTCATCCAGGCCAAGTCCTCATCATCGTCGCCCCCGACAGGTAAGTACCGCGTGTCACTTGCGATCGATTCGACTTACATGCGCTCTCAGAACTAGAAGCGCTGTCGCCGCTTGACAGGATATCCACAAAGAACGATGCATCACCGTCCATGGGATCGCGGCTGCTGTGCTCCGTGACCAACTGACACAAGAATCGCCTTCCATTTCCTTCCGCCATTGTCGTCTCTGCACTTTGCTTCGACAGATTCGATTTTTTTGCGAACAAATTTGTTTTTAGTGTTTTCTCAAAAAAACCGCGTAGCCCCGAAGGTCGAAAGTCTCAGATATCGGGCCATATCATAGAGTACAGTTCAGCTGATCCAGCCAAACTCAAAACGACTGCCCCCGGCCGACTTCACTGGGCTTGGTTTTGTAGGGATGACAACTGGTTACGAGTATGGCATGCATGGGTGTCATCGTTTGGGGCATATACCCCCCCCCCCCCCCCCACACACACACACAGACATACATGTACACGCGCATGCACGCACACTCACACACGTGCCACCATGATCTACATTGACTCACATTCATCTTCTTTCTTCTCCTTTTCGCCAATGTCCATATTGAACAGCACAGTCTTAGGTGTCATAGTGGACATCTTGTTACTGAAGCAATAGGTGTACACGCCATCCATGTGCGCAGAGAACGTATATTTGCCATTGGTCTCGCGAGTACCGGCGTAAATCTCCTTGTTGTCCGGACCGTTGATCTGTCGCACGCACCACGCACCACAGGCACACACACACACACACACACACACACACACACACACACACACACACACACACACACACACACACACACACACACACATGCAATGCATCCACCCCCACGCACACACACACACACACAGAGGAACCGTGCCGGCAAATGAGCTCCTTGAGCGCGTTCAGATTAAGCACGGTGTGCCACAGACGCAGACAATACTGTAAAAGCCATTATTCTAACGAGGCGCATATACAACGATTCCCTAAAATTGACCAGTTTACGTGTATCAAAGGTAACGATTCTCACTCATTCTCAACGCTCAATAGCTTTTAAAGTTAGAGTTAGCACTTCGTTATATATATGGCTTTTACAGTAGTGCCGCTACAGCTCAAACACCCTCCACCCACCATGGCAGGACAATTCCCTGCTGTCACCATTGGAGCACACTCGCAAACTGACTACATGCAATAAAACTCTGGTAAGACGGAAATTTGTCTACGCAGAGCACGTAGGTCGGGCTCTGATAATGGAGGCGCTCCGTGTGTGGGTTGGGGTACAAATTTATGACTCTCTCCCCAGGTCGACCCGGTCGTACACTGCCGAGTTCCGAGTTGCCAACGGCAGCTACGCGATACGAAAACTCCGAATGACGGAACACAGATCTCCATGCAATGTACGTACCGTAGTAACGCACATATATAGGCGCATGTGCCTGTATTCGGATATAAGCGCACTCTCACTTATAAGCGCATGGTCTTATAGGCGAAGCACTACCAAAATTCTCACTTTGACACAATCATGGATTAAAGGCTGCGGATAAAAGTGCTTATATGTGCGTTAGAACGGTAAGACTTTCCGTAGATCGACTACGTTTTTTTTACTAACGTGGTTACGTTATGCGGAACCTCTCTGATGTCTGTAGATGCTATGGCTGTGGACATTAAATCTGTTGAGAAGTCAAGCGGCCACGGGGCGGTGGCCTTGCAGCCACGGGCACTGCTGGTCTTTACAGCGTGTGCGTGAACTACAGTGCGTGTAGTTTGTTTGTTTAGCTTTATTTTACTTCACCATAGGCACAGGCAAAATCTGCCTCCTCACTGGGCACAGTGCCACAGTTCTCGCAAAATGATGAAGACAGTGATATAAGAAAAGAAGAAGAGTTGCGTGTCCCACGACCGTCGTACTAGTACGACGCGCGCTGTACACTGTACAATGAACCTGCATCTCATAGTCGTGGGGTCCGTGTTGAGTCCATAGTGGCTTGTTCAAACTATCGTCACTCACTCAATACTTGGTCGATTCTCACAATCGAAACATGTATCCGCAAGAGAACAGTCGCCACAGCAATACGACTTCTGGTTGTTGAGATATGCGACTCGACACAGCAATTTTCAACTCTTTTTTTGGGCAGTCTGCAGAATGCGTATTTTCCATTTTGGATCATTTTTGCGCTGCCTGCTGCCATGGAAACAAGATTCAAATGATGGTAGTGGATCTTGTGAGTCCTCACAAAAATTTGAGCTCGATACGAGCAAGGAGACTGAAATGGCAGCTGAATATTTGAGCTCGTTTAGTCTTGGCCGTGCTCAAGTCTGTCGAGCGCGTGGATGAAGTTTGCCAGATGGTAGCACGGGGTTTTGGTTTCGCTCCGAGCTGGGTTTGACACCAGTTTGTCCCTCGTCTCAAGACCTTTCCAGGAAGCTCAAAATCGTGGAATTCATCCAAGGGAAGGTAAAGTTATCGATCCTTGAACAGCTAGTACTTTCATGGGAGAATGCGACTTTTACATGTGTTGACGTGGGGCGCGTTCAGGTAGCGTCGCCATTCAAATATCGATCCATGTGGATCGATGCAATAGGCGATCACTAAACATTTCGTCACACGCTCAAATATTGTCGGATTATTACAAACGAGGGCTCTACGTCTTCAGAAAGACCTTGACTATCGACTGCAACTATCAATTTCACTCCTTGGTGCATAATTGGCGCACGACGAAGTATTTTTGTAGACTGTGAATTGACTCAATTGCGAAAATAATGGGTAGTGAAAGGGTTAATAGTTCTACAGTGTTGCAATGTCCTTTAGTGCAGCGACGATTCCAGAAGAGTGTTGTACGAAAACTTTGATAGAATCATAGGTTGCGAGTTCGAGAGATTTTGCGTAAAACCCGCGTTATTCATGAAAATGTACAAGAAAATAGCACATGATGTTGAAAATGTACTACAAAGTCGTACCGGTGCATGAGTTTGTACGACAAAGTTGTATACTTGCATGAAACTGCATGCTTAAGTTGTACAAATGACAGAGAATGGACCACTTGCCATTTGTACAGATCCACGAAATCCCGTAGACCCGGAAGGGTGTTGAATGTGCAGGACCCTATTGTGTTTTCTGCTATTTCCACTAAGAAATGGGGCCTGAAGGCATTTCATACGAAAACCTTTTCCTGACAAAGATCTAGCTAGTCATTAGTTCTAACCAAAGTGAAGAAGCTGGGAAAGCGATTGCTGGTCATTGAATTATGACGCGAAAATTGGTCAAATACGCATGCATAGCACACATTCAACACCCTTCCGGGCCTACGGGATTTCGTGGATCTGTACAAATGGCAAGTGGTCCATTCGTGCACAATGACCGCATTATACCACATATTTGCCGCATAATCCCGCATATTTGCCTGTTTTTGCCCGCATAATTATGCGCATAATTTTAGGACTTCGTCCGCGTTATTCTGTGGGGACAGTAAAACACTGATATTTTACAACTCCCTGTCTTGACTCTTCGCACCCGCGTGGCCGCCTCGTCGACCCACTACGAAAAGTTCACACGTTATGCGCAACCTCATGGCTTACGAATAGTCGTTCGCTTTTTTCGTTAAAAATTTTCGTTACGGTGCTACGAATTTTCGTTGTGCGCAACCTCTCTAATTAGTGTCTTCTTCACTATTTCTTCCTTCTTCTGTTGTTTTACTGCACGTTGTTTCCATCGTTTGACACTGCACGAATAAAAACGGTACAGTCAGACCTCGCTTATCCGGTCCTATTTTATCCGGATCGCTCGCTATCCGGAAGAAAATAGCTGGTTACAGATTTAAAGCATAACAGGTGTTCTATTATCCGGTTCCCTCGCCTATCCGGATATTTTTTTGTGGAAAACGGATGTGTGCGGTTAAGCGAGGTCTGACTGCATACACATGTCGATTCAGCTCGTCTTATTGATTGCAGTTTTAAAATTATTCTGAAGGCCAAGACTTTTCGAAAAGCAGCGAATGCGTTCCATACGAGTTATGTGGATGATGGTAGCAGATCATGGCAACAGTGAGAGGTTCCGTTTCGCCATGGTTGAAGTCCACCAGCGAAGTTCATGTTTTCCAGTTGACAATGTACAATTTAAAATTCAGAAGTCCGAAACAATAAAACCATTCAATTGGACAGAATTCTGACAGGAACGATACTGGGTAGACACGACACAGTACTAGTACAAGACTAATTTGATTGAGCCACTAAACTGGGCCTCTTACTACGAGCAGCAACACTTCTCACCTTCACATCAATGTCTAGAAATCCACCTTCAGAAACTTCAAATGTGAGTCCCATTTTCGTGTGGGTTTTCACATCGTCGTGAAAGCAAACCTCCGCAACTGCATCAACTGTTACAAATACTCCTTCGGCAGCACTGCAGAACAATGCCAGGGCGAGGAGCGCCGCGAAGGCATTCGCAAGATGATCCATTTCTATTTCTTGAAGGACAGCAGAAGTAGTAAGAATGATGAATGTTCAAGAAGAGCAAATTTTTGGTTGATTGTCCACATCGAAATGAAGGTGACGTCAGCTTCCCTTCCTACGCGAAATCGTCGACAAGAAAATTTCAAAATCGAATTCAAAAGACATTAGGAAAACCCATTCGAGTTTGTTTTAGACTCACATGGATGTTGATGCGATGGGCACCCCAAAATCCAAAAAAACGTTGATTTACGCACAGATATGCTGAAAGATGTGTAAACCTCTTCAGAATGAGTTTCCTTCAAAAATGGCGGACGTGCCAACAAGCGCACGCGCATGCTCCTCATGTAGCTGTGCGAATTTGCTTCTTCCTTTTCCCGAACTAGCCAAAGACAACAGTAACGTTGTCTGTGTATTTTTGTACAGGCCCTAGACTAAAAAACTACCACCATGGTAAGGCCAAGGCGAATTCATGGATATCCTGCTTCGCTTGCTCGTATCGCCGGCTGATTGGGTGCGACGTGGACTGCAGCATTGTGAGTTATAGATATTTATGGTATTTCTATGTCACAGCCTTTCGTCAAGGTCGTGAAGGATCGCCAATACTTCAAGCGATTCCAAGTCAAGTACAGGCGCCGCAGAGGTATGATCAACTTTTATCCTGCCTAATTCGATACTCTGAACTCGGACAATCCCAAACGATAACGACATAGAATTTACTTCAAATACATACACTTGACAAGAATCGAGACATTTCTTGATAGCAAGAGTAGATCTACATTATACTTGGCTGCACTGTACCACACTGATCTGGCGGTGTCCCCAATTTTCCTGTCTGTGTGTATGCAGTCCTATGGGCAAGTTTGAAATAATTATGAAGTTTTCATCACCTCCAGTGAAGCATCTCTCAAAATTACAAATATTTCCTGAGGACTTTATTATTATTATAATGTCAACGCACCTAAAATTTAGCGGCATTTCCAGTCTACATGCATGCGATGGTCAATTACATTAGTTATCTCTAGCAAGGGAAATGTATCCGCTGTCTAGTCTTCTTCATTGCTCCATTTTTGATTTGAGTCAACTGAACGAAGGCAGCTGAGAATTAATTCAGTGTGTGTACATGATCTCCAGGCTCCACAATCTCGAACAATCATGCATGTAGGAGTGGGTTTTGTGCATGCTGCATGTAGTAATTTGTCTGTTTCTTGTGCTGGTGCTATATTGCAGAGGGCAAGACTGATTACTATGCCCGCAAGCGCCTGTGTGTCCAGGACAAGAACAAGTACAACACACCTAAATACAGACTTGTCGTCCGCTTCACCAACAAGGACATCGTGACTCAGGTCAGTTGACTGTGGTGTGTATGAAGCCGTATGCGTTTCTCTATTTTTGTAAGCATATGAGCCATGGTTCTTAGCATCCTTATAGCTGTAGACAAGCAATGGTTTTCATTTTGTTTATGTGGAATATTGCGTCCATGACCAACGGCATGCAACTAATTGTGAGTTTGCGTGCGGCCATGCCATATACTCGTATACTCGGTTTTGCAATCTCTCGTACCACTCCACCAGTTTTCCTTGATTCGTTGCTGTTCCGGTGCGTGAATTCCAGCTCCATTCAACAGCTCACTTCAAACCGCGGGAAGAGTGTATGTGCGTGTAGTTTTTGATTTTCCGCACTTTAACCCATTGAGGGCTACAGGGTCTTTCATCTGAGGCTCTCAAGAAAATGCTAAAATAGGGCCAGTGTAAAGCTCCACAACTTCATAGTCAAGCAACTGGGTTGTTGAACTCTTGTGAAATGTTGACCAAGGCTATGATCATCACGCTGACCAACTTGATATAGTTCCCAGAGAGAGGAACAAAGTGCTATATGACACGTAAGTTCATCCAAATTGCGTAAAATACGAAAGTCGCCAATTTGAGTTGAATCGCCGGACGAAAAAGAAGAAGAAAACGTATCCAAGCGGGATTCGTACCCGCAACCTCTCGTACTGAATGCAGGAAATGTACCGCTCGACTCTGGGGTCTCTTTCAGTCTTACGCTGGAACACGGAAGTTAGTACAGTAGGATAGCCTGTCAGCCCGAGTATTCGGGCTCAGCGCCCTGACGTCATTCTGAATCCAGAATATATTCGGGCTCAGCAGTCAATGGGTCAAGGATGAAGCTGTGTGCCCAATAGAAAAGGTACCACAGTTGCATACTCGTTGTTTTGCGCTCTTGGTCATAGGGCTATCTTTGGCATCCAAGAAGTATCCGTTCTCGTTTCAGCATGTTGCTATTGTTGCTGTCCTGCGATTCAGGGGCGCTGTCTTCAAGGTATGACTGTTTCTACAAATATTCTCTAGTTGAGGGCATGGAACAGGGCTTACTGCAAGCTAGTTATGTCTTCATCCCTTTTTCTGATCCTTATATTTGGTCCTTGTTCTGTATGCGCAGGTAGCATATGCCCGTCTCCAAGGAGATATCATTCTGTCGTCAGCTTATTCCCACGAGCTGCCCAGATATGGCATTCAGGTCGGTCTCACAAACTACGCAGCAGCTTACTGCACTGGACTGCTCCTCGCCAGGCGTGTTTTGACCAAGTTGGACTTGGCCAAGCACTACGATGGACAGACCGAGGTTGACGGTGACGAGTACGCCGTTGATGACGTTGCCGGAGCTCCCAGCGCCTTCCGCTGCTTCCTCGACATCGGTCTGGCCCGCACCACCACCGGTGCTCGCATCTTTGGCGCCCTCAAGGGTGCCGTCGATGGTGGCCTCAACATCCCCCACAAGTAAGCTTGGGTGTATGTGTGATTGTGTTGGTTGGTTGGCTACAGCATAATATTATGATGATCTGTCCTGCCTTGTGTGGCCTTCTCTTCACAGCTTTGGTTTGTTCCGACAGTCTCGAGCATTTTTTCTGTTTGCTAGAGATACTATAGTATTTCTGGCCATTAGATGATGCTTGGCTCGATACTGTATTGTGCTCTGACCAAGTCACCTTTCTGTCTCCCGTTTTTATCCAGCTGCAAGCGATTCCCAGGTTTCGATGGTGAGTCCAAGGAATTCAATGCTGAAGTCCACCGTGAGCACATCTTCGGACAGCACGTTTCCAACTACATGAAGACCTTGCAGGAGGAGGACCAGGATGCCTTCCAGCGTCAATTCTCTGGCTTCGTCAAGGCCGGCGTCACTGCTGACGGCCTCGAGGGCATGTACACCAAGGCCCATGCCGCCATCCGTGCCGACCCATCACCCAAGGCCAAGAAGGAGCAGCCCGCCGACAAGAAGCCAAAGAGGTGAGTGTTTCTTTTCCCATTGTTCGGCGACCCCCACCTGTTGTTCCTCCTGTAGATTTTGTTTATAGTGTCCTTTGGTAAATTTGCTGCTGTCATATTAAATTTCTTCCCGATCATCTGCATGCGGGCTACTGGAGTCCCTGTTGTGCTCTTAACGAGGGCCATATGAAGGAAACGATTGTGCCCGCTTCTCAGTGTCTATTTTAGCATGAATTGTGAGGCAGTATAAATCTATAGCTGCGCTATGTATTTTTTGAAGTAGTGAAGACTTCCTGCATAGTAGAAGAGGTAGGCGTATGCTCACTGCATCCTTGTCGGTAGCGCTCATCGGCGTTAGTTCCAGTGCCACGGGGTGTTTTCAGCTTTGCGTTTTTGCTGTGTCCTTCGATATGCCTTCTGTAAACTTTGCATGTGCTTGCGTCTGTTGAATGCTGTTTGGACTTGTTCCTCACAATTGTCTTTTCTCTACTCTTTCTCCATGTTCAGGTTTGGCCGCAAGAAGCTGTCTCGCGAACAGCGTGCCAACCGTGTGGCACAGAAGAAGGCCAGCTTCATGCACAAGGTCAAGAACCAGTAAACCATGCTGCTCTTGCTTTCCGGGAAATACAATTCTTTTTGAAGAAACCATGTGATGCTAGATGCTGTGTGTTTGTGTGGATGGAGTGAGGGTTGGATCAGTGGACTTGTCCTTCTAGGGCCATCCACCTTCCTGTCTGCCCACAATGCCAGCGTTTGGTGCATGAGAGGCCGCTCGACTTTTGTGTGCGTTTTGGTCACTACTGGTGCCGCTGGTTTGGGGAAGCGATTGTGGAGTGGTACTGCATCGGCTGGACTGGAGTGTGCCATTGCACTGCATGCCGTCCTGAGTTGTATTCGATGGTGTTTATGCCGCATTTCAGGCCTGTTCCAATATGTTATTTGCATGAACCAGTGAGTTTTTGGTGTGTGGTCGTCTCGCTGTGCAGTTCTGGTTCGTGGAATTGTTTTACAGTAGAGTCGCGCCCCAAGAACGTTGTTACGAAGGAGTTAGCCTGGGACTTTCTTATTTCTTCAGTGATCTGGCTGCGTTCTTAGAAACAGTGCATACTCACTGGATCGAATGTATCCCACGAACTGCCAGAAAACCAAGTCCAGCAAGTATTACTAAGAGTACATAATGTACTCTTGGTATGGTTACAGTAGAGTCGCACGATTGCGCGCCCAAGAACGTTGTTTCCGAGGGGTTAGCCTGGAATGTTCTTATTATTCAAGGATCTGGCTGCGTTCTTATACTTAAGCACGTTCTTAGAAACAATCTGTACTGGATCACATGTATCCGACAAGCTGCCACAAAACCAACACCGCCGTTCTTAACTTTAGGCTGTGGCGTTCTTAGGATTTCAGGCTGGGCGTTCTTCAGCGCGTGACTCTACTGTATGTACTCTTGGTATTACTTTCACTGGGGGTGGTACAGGGGTAACTGCAGTTGGATCCCAGGACGGGTAGCGATACCCTGATGCCGTCAATCCTTTAGGATTTTTCTGCACCTTGTCCTAACTGAGGTATGGTGAGCCTGTTTATAATAGTGAGATTTCAGGGGGTGTCAGCCGTAATTGTGTGGCCAATTGATTCTTTTTTAGGGGCCGTCCGTAAATATCGATGTTTTTTTCAAGACGATATTTGTTCATTTCTCCCCAGATCCCCTCCCTCCCCCCTCGAAACGAACATACACATGTTTATGCAAGGATCGATATTTTTTAATGAAGTTCAATTCCCTCATGAAACGTGACCGGCTGCCACTCTAATGTCACCATGCACCTAGGTTTACATTAGAGAGGTTCCGGGGTACGATTTTCCGTGCCAAAATCCGTATGGGCGCTACGGATTTTTTCCAGGCGTGCTCCATACGATTTTTCGGCACGAGAATCCGTGTGGACTGGCTTTCATACGAACCATGCTTCGTATGGAGATTTTGCGTCATCGGGTGCAGAAAGATTTTTCGCGTACAAATTTGGTACGAGAAACATCGATTTTTCGCGGGAAGTTTTGATTTCGGTACAAATTTTCAAAATAAAAAGGCATAGCGCGGGAATGTGACGTGTTTGCGATCGTAACCTAGGCAATGACGGCAAACACATAAGTTCCGTACCCCGGAACTTTTCACTGCTCGAAAACGACGTATAAAAAATCCGTAGAGCCTCCACGGATTTTGGCACGAAAAATCGTACTCCGGAACCTCCCTATTGCCACGGTCGCACAACCTTGCCATGGCTATGCTCACGAGGTTGACTTTCACTTTGTGTAGGTCATAAACTACATGTTCGAACAGCGCCCGTCCATAGATAGAGTTCGATATTTTTTCCTGCAAAGACGAGACGAACAGGGCCCAAACCCCCTCCCCCCCCCCCCCCCCAAACGAACGAATATCTTCTCTAAAAAACCATCGATATTTGTGGACGACCCCTCAGGGCGCGTTTGGTTGGTACGAACTAGAACAGGATTCACCAGAACAGCGCGTTTGGTTGGGACTGCACCTGTTCTGGGTCGGCCAGAACATGTTCTGCTTGCTCCGGCCTCGAGGCCGGAGCAGACCGAGCAGTTTCACTTTTTCACAGTGAAACCTGGCGGGAACATCGATTTTGGTCCCAAATGATCACGTGCATACGCTTTTGGGTTGGACTCGTTGTACCGTACAAAGTGACCATGGTGACCCATACACATTTTCAAGTTTCACACATTTTTCCACGAAAATGTGCTCTGTTTCTGGAGTACCGTTTGGTTGGCATGAGGCTGCTCCATGTGCACCAGCTGTTCGATCCTGTTCTAGATCGTACCAACCAAACACACCCTCAGTCTCTTTCCCCTCTCCCGGTGAGATCCACGCGACCAGTTTTGGCAGTGAGCGAGTATACCGAAAAGTACCGTTGATCCGCCTCCTGTCGATTTTCTACCTGTGAAGCGACTTCGGCGTATACAACGAAAATACGATGTTGAACCGACGCATGCACTGCTGTACACAATACTTGCCAATCTAGGATGAAAATGTGCACAATCCAGCACATTGAGTCACATTGAGTCTGAACTTCTACGTTGTTGTACATCGTACTGCACTTGACAGCCTTGATCTAATTCCTGCCCCCTGCCGAAAACCCAGCTGGGAAGCGACATGGCGTGGGGGGGGGGGGGCGGATCAACGGTACTACATGTGTGTGTGTGACTTGTGGTTTGCTCACTGCCTAAACTGGTCACCTGGGTCTCCCCGGGCGAGGGAAGAGAGAATCAAAAAGGAACTAGTCTTGTAGGGGTGAAACGACAGATTCCTTATCGACTTGATTCATCATATCCTATCGACTGGTTATCGACTGATATTGCCCTCACACATGAACACAGCATATTTACCCATACCGAAATGCACATGCAGGGTCGCACATCCATGCACAAGCAAACAAAAGCACACTATGAGCACATTGTAGGTTTCGACGTTCAAATGGACCCGTGCAGAATGTGTCTTGTACTCGGCTGTGTATGAAAGCGAAATGGATTCAGGTGCCAAGTGTACTTCACAGTACATGGCCTGAACTCGCAGCACAAGTGCATGATTTACATGTACTTCTGGGCATTTGCACGATTAAAGTCACCCTGAGGGTTTTCCTACTATCGACTCAGTTGTTTCACCCCTAGAATCTTGGAAAGATAGGCTACTGAACCGCCACCCCGTGAAATACCCAAACTCTGTGGACTTGGAAATATAATGGGCTCACCACACCTCGGTTAAAGTGGGCGAGGACAAAAAATAAAATAAATAAATTCACGGTCCGCGTGAGGTGAGGCTGGAGGCCTAGTTTTCCAAATCCATAGGACCCCCGAGGATCAAGGCGAGGACAAGATACAGAAAGAGTATTGACACTGTGGCATCAGAGTATAGCCGTCCCGGGATCCAACTGCATCCACCTCTGACCCCAGTGAAGGTAATACTTGCTACTAGTGTGGGTGGCTAAATCAGAGTCGATCTGACAAAAGCCCCATGAGCGCCATTGATTACACTAGCGAGAAGTAGTCCATAGTTAACAGGTGTGTATACTTCAACATAGATAGTATAATTAGGATTAAGAACCCTGCAACGAACAAAGATGGTAGGTACATTATACCGTCCAGCAGCGGAGCCCGTTGGCAATAGACCCACCACCGCTATCTGGCATAAGTGCACCCACGAACTGCCGAACACACACACACACCTCAGACATGCCCAGCGCGGAAGCGATGATAGCGAACAGCTATGTTAGACATAGCAACTTGTGCCACACAAACACCATTGGACGCCCATCGCCAGAGGCGATGCTATAGCAGAAGCCATAGCAACTTGTGCCGGGATTGCACCATTCAACAGCTTGCAAGGCTGAAGAATTGACCGCCACTATTCAGCCTGGTCTACACCACACAGCAATGACGTGGATTTACTGGCCAGTGAATCCCTACTTTTTGGTCTACACACACACACACGCACACACGCACACACGCACACACACACACACACACACGGCTTAGCTGGGTGAACGCCCTCAAGCAACTCACTCGCTCACTCCCACTCACTCAATACCACTCACTCTACACACAAGCAACCTGACCTGAACCACACTAAAACCAACGAAGTAAAAGTAACAGAGGAACTGCAGTAAAAAAAAATACAGTACCAACGTTATGCAGAGACTGGATAAGCAAGGTAGAACTAGCAGAATAAATAGAAGAGCTGAACACGAGCACAGCATAGTCAAACATACACAGACAGACCTTGAAATGGCTGATATACGCCGGCTGGCGAGCGGAAATGAAAATAAGTTAGACTGGCCGGCTAGGAACGCCAAGAGGCCGAACCATCAACCGGGTACGGAGAATCCAAACGAAAAGGACAACAGTGTATACCGGTGCGCAACAGACGAAGCGCACCACAGCAGCAGCAGCATAAACCGGGAACAAGGTCAAAGATGCATAGAAAGAACAACTGATCCCAGACTGGTTTGGTCCACAAACTGGGCAACAACGCCATAATATTATCTATCCTAGAAATTACTAATAACTCCGCCTCAGCCAACGTACCACGGAAGGAACACGGAGAGCTGTAGGAAATGAATACTCAAATCAGCGCACGGAAGCGACGGTCGGCTTTTCGGTGCAATGGAACGATCAGTCATTTCTCAATTATAGATAATCGCCTGACTTCATGGTAGGGTGCGGTGTCTGTCTGGTTTCCAAATACAGTGGATATCGGTTATAAAGTCATCGGACATAGTGATAAACCGGCTATATTGATACAAAATGAAGATATCAAAAGCAAAACCAGAAAAAGCCAGTCAAATTATCATTATAACCAATATATCGGATATAGCGATAAATCGGCTATAAGGATACAGAATCACCATTCCAATCACCTCTTTGTGCAGAAAAATTATCGTCTATAGTGATAGCAACACACGAGTGTGAGATATTGATGTCTCGACTCGGAGCCACATGTGTGTTTCCATAGTGTATTCTGGTCTGATGCTTCCTGGATGATGCCTTTGGGCCAAGAAGTTCTTCACTCTAGACTGGGGAAGGTGCAGCAGCATGCATCATGTATCAGTATGCTACATTAGCGCGATCGAGTACCCACACGTGTATAATGTGTATGTATGACGAGCGCAGTTGAAAATCGCCTGTAGTGATATACCGGTTATAGTGATAAAATGTGAAAAATCAGAAGGGCACGTTATAACCAATATCTACTGTAGGTCTAATAGGTCTGCAAGTCTGAATATGGTGTATACATGTAGTATAGGCCGGTATACGTCAGGGTATCCATGGCAAGAGTGAGTGTGTGTGTGGGGGGGGGGGGGGGGGGAGCACCGAAACCAGCAAAAAAACTATGGAACAAACCCTAGGAGAAAAATCAACAGCAGAGCTGCCACTACATTCACATTTCAGTCTGCAATCAGTGCAAGCTTCTAAAATGAAAATCACTATACGCAATAAGATCAGAAAGCATCTATCCGTTGGGGTGGGTGGGGGTAGGGCATTACAATGAGGTGAAAGTTTCCAAATCACCAACACAATACCAGTGTGGTAGCATGTTATGATCAGTGTGTGTGTGTGGGGGGGGGGGCACTCACCACCGCCTGCAGTTTACAGCTACACTCAATACGGTCATGCAACACAAACGTGTGCACACGTATAAAGTTCTTTGCACACGAGTGCACGCACGCACGCACACACACACCATACACACACACCAATGCACACAGGCTCGTGTGCACACACACACACACATGCAAGCAAATCCATTTGGATACGTAAAGGACGTATGTTCATGTATGTGCACACCCCTAGTCCATCCACTACATCCACCTACCTCCTCAGCTCAACACGCAGGCGAGTATAGAGAGCATGCTTTTTCTTTTCCACTAATTTATACTTCAGATTATTCAAGCCGTCCGCATGCATTCTTGACCCACTGGTTTGCAGCAACTTGAAACGTTGAGGATTAGGTTTAGACGACTGGAAGTGGTCGCGCTTTACTGTAGCAAAGCGACCGTCGGGAGAGGGCGGACGGTTTAACTTGTATCCGGCTGCTTTCCAACGTGTCAGGATGTCATCGTCTTCGCCGCCCCAGCCCCAGAAGAAATTTGCAAATCCGTTCATCTTCTCTAGTTGTTCGGGTGACTGTTTGGTAACGCCACCAGTAAATGTAGCATACGGCAAACCCCAACTCCATTTGTCTGTCCTCGCTGCCATGTGCTGTGGCTGTGGTCCACAACGATAGCTCAGCATCGGATCCACAGGTATGTTGTCAACGTCGTGAAATGATAAACATGTGTAATTGCGCTCGGCCATAGCTTCGCGATACCCGACGTTGAATAACATTGCCCGGTTGAACGGCAACTGGTCAACTTGATCAACAACGTAGATTGTGTGCGCCAACTTCTGTCTCTGCAGGTACGGGTGAATGTGCTGGAGAAAGATCAGCAAGTGCGCTTCGCGGTTACGAAATGGGATGACAATGGCCAGCGAATGCTCCACAGTACAGCCATTCGGCTGCCACCAGCCGCCTTCCTTGATGCCGGTCACCTTGAGACGGGTTATCAGTGCATTTTCGTCAGGTACTGTGTTCAGGTCCGGCGTGAGTTGCGTGTCAGGCACTTTCTCCACAGCGCAGCAGCAGCTATTCTCACCACAAGCATCGTCAACGCATACTGTGGACACATTCGTGGATGCCGAGGTTGTTGGAGGTATCGTGAGCAGCGTCGCGGTTGTTGGTGTAGTCGTCGGAAGTGCAGTTGTTGGCTGCTGGGTTGTTGGTTGCATGGTTGTCATACCGGTAGATGGAGTCCGTATCGGCCTTGTGCCTTCCTTACGGATAGGTTTGGGCGCTTTTGGCGCAGAGCTTGTCAGGGAAGAAACGCCACGACTAGTCGATGCCGAGGTGAAGCCATTGATTGTCGATGCCAGTATCCCCACATTCGCTGCTACTACAGGAACTGCTGTAGTCTTGGGCAAGTGCACGTCACTACCAGCTGATGATGCTGATGTTGCTCGGACTTGTGGTGCAAGTTTCGGCTGGGCTGCTTTGATCCTGGCTCGGATGCGCTTCTCCACGCATCGAGCGCCACAGACCACTGAAACGTCTGGCATGCGATCAGAGCGCAAGACGTCCACTGCAACGCAGACCAACGTCAAGAGCAGCACAAAGAAACAGAGGTTCTTCGTTGTGAGCTGTTGCGGAATCGCGATGCCCTGCATCGTGGCGCGGGCCCCAACGACCTCCGGCCGGGCGCTGGGTCCGTCACGTCGTCAACAATCGATCTGCTTGTAGCATCCCATGTTTCATTGATCACACTCCAGCAACCATAAAGTCACGAATGATCAGCGACAGGTCGGCAATGAGTCCGAAATTCACCGGCGGCGCAGGCTAATAATACCACCGCTCGAGGTGATGCGACTGGACTAACAAGCTTGACACTCGGAATGACTCTTTCCGCCGCTGTCCAGCTAAAGCGACACAAACTCGGAGATCCAAAGAGAGTCGCTACTTTTAGTTCAATCGCGTTCACAACTTCCAGCATCACAGCTAGAAACAATAGCCGGCATGTGTGTATTGAATTAAAAAGAGACTTGTGACAGTTATCCAATGTCTTCAACGGCGTCTGCAGAGTGAAGTAATAGTTCTGTACCAGTAAGAGGAAGGATGGACATTGTACCGGGACGCCAACACGTATTCCCGATCACCAACAAGAACTAATCTCAGGATGCCTTACCATAAATTATTTTAGCAGCTAGCTAGCTCTCTCATCGCTGGTGATTGACTAATTTTTCTAAGCATGCGCATGCTCGTGTACAGTTCTACGTGGATTCTACGTGTACAACCCTCTGCGCGTTTTTACGAATTATTTGTGTTTGGCCGGGTTGACCATAGATTATCTGATTTATTGTTTTGTGCCTCCGCGGCTCCGGCGCGCGTGGTCGCCCCTTTTTGGCCCTTTTTGGAAAAGCCCGTTTCTTTCGCCTTTTATTGCGTTTTTTGGTGAATATCGCCCTTTTTGAGCTTTTTCAGCTGAAAAAGTGCTAAAATCTGTTTTCTCATGCATGCGCGATCACAGTTTCCGAGTGCTCAATGGACCTTTTTTTTTTTTTTTTTTTTTTTTAAATTTCGGCCAGTCGGCTACTATTTTCGTCTTGGGGGCTAGACAAGGGGAAGTAGCCATGTCGGGGCGTGAGCCCGCCTTTCGGCACCGGGAGTTGCAGCTCGCTCGACTTGACTCTACTGAGTGCAGAGGACCCACACCTTGATCTGGTGAGCTGCGTCGTGGGGATTTTGCAGTCAGATGTGCGACTGCGGGGCTCGAACCTGCGACCCGCGCGAGTACCCAATGTACTACCGGGGAGCCCCCCAATGGACCTTGGCACGCCGCTTTGTTTAGGGGGCAACAAGTATTATTATTACAATGTAGACTTTTGTAAAATGGCAATAAATAAGATAAATTGTGCACTCATAACAACAGCAAAAATGAAGAAAGTCAAGTTCCATAACGTTTTCTTGTGACTGTCATCAGTGGAACGCCGTCACATAAAAATGTAATAACTAAAACACACACTTATATACATGTAGCTAATATGGTTTCAGGTAGAAATACAGCAGGTAGAAATACAGCAGCTAACAAGTACAAAAAGCGAAGTTTGCACCTTTGCAATGTGTGAATATAGTGTATGTGAGAAAGGTAGTGGCAGATGAATGTGATACTGTGTGAATGAATGTAATGGTGTACAAGCATTTGGTGTCCAGTCCAGAATGTCGTAAAGTGTTTGACGATTCCTGGTTTAGTGTTATTCGTTGCGCACGTTTCTTCAAGCAATTGCAGGTGTTGGAAGCTGTGTATATTCGTACTCGTGACCCTGTGCTATGTAAACAGAAAGAAAACGTTGTATCACTCACACTCTTCAAGTAATACACACGCACCATTACATTCATTCACGCATTAAGCTTCTTAGGTGCAGATCGCTGGAATTCGCTCCCTGCTTCTGTTCGTATTTGCTCCACGCTATCAGACTTCCGCTCATCTACAATGTATACAAAAACATATAGGGTACCCCGTAAGAAGGCCTAAGGCCTGTGGGAATGCCCTATTAAAAATTTAATAAATAATAATAATAATAATCAAACCACGAAGTAGTGGTTGCGACTTCGGCGATGATTTGTAAGAAAGGGTTTGCTCCCCACACCGGAGCTCGCGCTATTCCGCCGACTTTACTTGACACTTGACTGACTCACGACTGCCATCCAGAGCACACGAGAAGTCCATCGAACCTTCGACTCGGCAAACCTGCAAGAAAGCACCACTCCCTGCTCAATACACAGTGTTTCGGGGAATTCACCCCTCATCAGTTGAGCTTGAGTAGGCTGAGGAAGATTGTGCCTGAAGAGCACCACTTATATAGTGCTCTCCAGGCACAAACATCACCAGGGATACAAACTTACAGAGACGCTCCGCTTCCAGCGCGACAAACACCTCGTGAACACCAGATAGCAGCGTGAGTCAGTGTCGCTCCTGGACGGTGAGACAGACGTCGAGGACCCTCGGTCATTCGCAACGCTGTCACCTCCAAACCAACTAGTCGCAAGCCCGCGCTGGGCACAACAGTACGAAGTAGTGGTTGCGACTTCGGCGATGATTTGCAAGAAAGCAAACCAGTTAAAATAATAATAATAATAATAATTCACACAGTATCACATTCATCTGCCACTACCTTTCTCACATACACTATATTCACACATTGCAAAGGTGCAAACTTCGCTTTTTGTACTTGTTAGCTGCTGTATTTCTACCTGCTGTATTTCTAACTGAAACCATATTAGCTACATGTATAATTATAAGTGTGTGTTTTAGTTATTACATTTTTATGTGGCGGCGTTCCACTGATGACAGTCACAAGAAAACGTTATGGAACTTGACTTTCTTCATTTTTGCTGTTGTTATGAGTGCACAATTTATCTTATTTATTGCCATTTTACGACTATTGTCTCCTCGTCGATTGTTTAGACTTTTTGTAGTTGGTGAAGCTTGCACCCGGTGTACACAATGCTGTAAAAAGTGGGTTTTTGAACTTTACGTCCTGTTTTGCCTTTCGTGGACCCATAAATGGAAGATTGCGTATTCATTTCTCAGCTTGGGTTCATACCGGTATCTGTAGTCCATCGGCCAAATCTCAGAAAAGGCCTCTTTCGGAGAAGGTGATGCACTGAAGCTCCAAGTAAACGCCCTTGGCTTTGGCACACTACAGTCCATTCATAAAAAGATGGGCTCTGGCTCTGGCGAGCTCCCGTATTTGGCGGTTTTTCGTGATTTCATCGTACACAGTGCAGTGCTGCGAACTTTGAAATTTGAAAAAGGGTCCAAAAAGGGTGCCTGAACTGGGGTTCGAACCGCAGAATGCACTGTTGCCAGGCGGGGTCAAACGGCCTGGATTTTGATGGTTTTCCCAATTCAGTGCTTTTGGGGCAAAACCTGGCCGAAATCCTATTCTTGCTATGGCTTGCTTTTTGGACAAAAAAACTTCAGAAACATAATCCGCGATATTCATGTTAAAACAAAATGGCGTCACGATTTATTGAAAGTGGTATAGTTGATGGAACGAGTGTTCAAACCCATTTGAACTTCATACTGTTCGTCTTCTTTTTGACATGCTCCCTTTCCATCGTCCTTAGCTTTTATTTGTTGAGAGCTGTTTTGGCTTTCTCCTATACCTCTGGGGGATGCCAAGTGATGGTTTTGAGAGGCTGGTGATGGCTGTGAGCGAGAGTTTGCCGATCGGCGTCGTCCTCGCTATAGCGATGAAAATACTAGTTACTGCGCACCTGGCACATATCACAACACGTCGGAGCGTCCAGGAGCAAAGGAATCTTGGGTTTTCACTGGAATCTAGTTCCTCCAGCATCGTGTAGCCCACCGTCGGTGAATGGCGGTCCAGAAAGGTCGAACCTGGTCTTCTGCAGCATCTCGCAGTCCTGCGAGGCACACTGAATACGCCTGTCATGTATTCTACAAATAAAAATCACGAAGTAGTGGACTTTACAGTGATGAGTCTATCCTGTATGCTGCAAAAGACGCAGGAAATGTGACTGGTGTCTGTACACTCAGTGACTGGACGCCAACACCCCAGTCTTCTTCTGCAGGATCTGTTTGACATTGACATTATGCAGTAGGTCGGCATTGACCTGGTTTGGCAGCTATCGTTATAGTATCTGCCTGGTTGGATGTAGCAGGTTGGTGTTTGCTCGTCGTCCAGTCCGGAATTTTCTTGTAACTCACGGTGGAGTACGCGCAGGGTTTGTGATCATCCCTGTTCACTTCAATATTATCAAACACAACGTTCCCTTTGTCACTCATCTTATCCTGAGTACTGAATTTGCTGACAATATTGCACCATACTTGTCACAACCTACCGCCACTGCTGGCGGTGGCGACTGGTTCGTCAATGGCGGTGACCAGGCTGACTGACTAGCTTCGAGACAGCGGCCTCGTTGTCAATCCCGCGGCAGCCTAAAGGTTGATTTTATCCATCCAGCCTCAGCGCCATGTTGACGATGCCCTAGTGACTGTGTGTCATGGATTGCCTTGCCATCAGCGGTCATTGCCGTCCACCTTGATGCAGCCCTCAACAACTGGCTCAGCCCATGGGAGCCTCGGTCTCAAGTGGACAAAATTGTTGCCAAAGTAGCTCAGAAGATTGGTGCATCGTGGTGTAGGTGAGCACATAACTAGGACTTCCCAGCGTCTATTTGTCCAGGCTGCGATACTATGTGACATGCTGTACTGCACATTCTTTTCAGCACTGCAAGGCCGGCAGCTGGACCGACTGCAGGGGCCGCGCACATGCAGGCCGCCTGTTGCCAGTGCAGCATTCTGGAACGTTCCTTCCTTCTGAGATCCGTGGAATAATAACTTTCTTTGCTTCAAAGCAAGTTGCTTACCTTTCTGTTGTGCTCCCAGTGTCCTTACAACAATAACCTACAGCAATGTTTTATTTTCCTTTCCATTCCCCAACCAATGAATACTACGATGTCGATTCTATTTCTTCATACTTTGGTGTGTGCCCGCGCACGCACATGTGTGTGTATACCTCACTCGCCACTCGAAGTTCTGTTCCCCATCACTGGAACACTGCCTGTTCTTTCAGGACCTGCCATCATCTGCGGATGGGCATTCAATAATTGTATTGTGTGTGTGTTTCATTCAGAATCAGAT